GGAGGTGATATTCTTGGTTTCGTCCCGCTTAGATGATTTTAGGTGATTCTGATGTGGTACTAAACTTTTTTGCGTCCAAATCAGCGTGCCGAACGCACAGTGATTGGACCGGCCCAGTAGCAAGCGCGGAACGCAAGGCCCAGCCCACTAGCAAGCGCCTAACACAAAAATAAAACTTAAAAAAGCTCAGCGCTATCACGGAGGTTCGAACACAGGTGCTCCCACTCCAATATGCATGCTACTAACCACCACACTAATGGCTGGTTGCAGCGTCAAACTTATAAGAATGCATTGGCAACAGCATATTCTCGCGGCCCTGTATGCTTGGCTACACGATGAGGATATTACATTTTATTTTGACCGGTCAAAGGTTTGGATGTTGGTTCGCTTCTAGAGCCGAGCAAAATAATCTTCGTGCAGTGCTCCACGTAATCCTTTTTTTGGCCTTTATGTGAGCACTGCTCCACGTAGTCACCAACGAGAAAATTGTTGTCTCTTGGCACAACTAGAATAGCTCTCCTCCCGTTCACTATATATATAAAAAAGAAAAATTAGGCGCAATGTACGTGTAATCTGATCACTTGCTACATACCCAAAATTTAATTTAAAAATGTTCTAATTTTATGTGATTCTGCCTTTTGAAAAATGCCAGTAGTTTTTAAAAATCATTCATGAATTTTAGAATGTTTATGTAGTTTTAAGAATATTGTTCATGTATCAAAACAATGTTTATATAAGTTGAAATGGTTCACCTTTTTCTCAAAAAAAGTTCATGTAATTCTAAGAAGTGTTCACATGCTTAAAAATATTTTGTAATGAAAAAACATTCATGCACTTTAAAAATTCCATGTGATTTAAAAATTATTTATTATTTCAAAAAGATTGTTGATGCATTTTGGAAAACAAATATACAGTTTAAAAGTGAATGGGCCTATGAGAGATGGTGTATGCATGCACTAGGTGCATATTGTAGCTTGGGGAAGGGCGCCCATCACCTCCAGCTCGACGAGATTAGTATATAACTATTAGACATTCACTTACGATGATGTTGTTCAATGGCAGGTGTGCGTGGGTTTAGGTAGTGGCCGACATCATCGCCTTGGGATTGGCCACGTTCAGACGCATTGTGACCAATTAGACACCGCGACCATGCATGGTTAGTGAAGGCATGAAAGGGTATAAGTGACAACACGGAGGTGGACTATGTTGATATAGATAAGGACCAGTTGAGGGGTCTTAAGTTGTGCTTATTATACAACTATAGAAGCATGTATCTTTTTTTCTCCCGCTGCAACGCACGGGCATGTTTGCTAGTAACAGCAAAAAAAGTTAGAAGTTTCGCTGCACTCCAGTTGCAACTTGCGAGAGTTGAAAAATAAAAAAGACGATTGCCACTGCATTCCTGTTGCAGTTTGCAGAGGTTCATGCGTGAACACTTTCATTCCTGGGGCCCACATGTCAGGCACTAGATGTAGAAGGAAAAAAAACAAAAGAAAAGGAAGGTTGTCACACATTCCTGTTGCAATTTTGCAGGTGCTCATGTATAAACAATTTTCTTTTTTTTCTTTTTACTGTGTTGGTGGGATGTCACTGTCTGAAAGCATTGGAATTCCACTTCTGACGTGGTTTCGGACAAAACTTCACTTCAGAGTGGCGCCACCCAGTTCGACCGAAAGCAACTGGTATCAACCAAATGATTCTAATGAAGACCTATAAAATGCACCTCAAACCAAAGTTCAGGCCATGCTGTACCAGGAAACCAAAATAGGTAAAAACTTTCAGAACAAACGTGCTCAGAAACGTGGATAAAAAACGAGCATCGGACCGAAAGGAAACGGACGGATAGACGAACGCAACAAGTGTGTCAGAAAATCAAACAGAGGATGACCACCTAGCAGAACAAATATACACCGCTATAACACTATTGTGCAGTGTTTGCAAGGTTTCTAGAACTGCTGTGCTGGGGCAACAAAACCTGGTGTTACGACAGCACATCCGTATGATCCCCTTGATGCTGCTATTCACTCAGGGTAACAAGAAGAATTGCTCAACGTGTGCGACCGGGTACTAACTGTCGACGCCGAGAAACTCTGTGAAGCTTGGGTATTTGGGCTCCCACCCAATGTCGGCCCGGGTTTTCGAATTCTCCATCCTCTTCCCCAATGGACCGTCGGTACCTGAAGTGAAGGTGGATTTAATGTTATTACAAGAAATGGTGATGTATGCGCACCGGAACACATCAAATTTTGTGTTTCAATTTTCATGTATGTGAATTTACAGGAAGGAAACTAACCAGTGAAACCGTGGAATTCCGTGTCGAATTTCCCACTTTTGTTAACAGCGTCCATTATTTCTTGCCTGCAAAGTTCAAATTCATTCATTTTAATTAAAAGAACGAGTTGCCCTTTCAGCTATTAGCAAAGCTATGATACACCGACATAATCGAGGTAGACTAGATGAAAACCAGTTGATGTAAACAAGCAGCTTAGTACTAACCTGGAAAGAGGCTTATTGTCACAGCCCAAAAATATACGACCCCGAGGTCTCTTTTTCATAATGGCAATTGCAAGGGACGCAGCATCCTGAACATACATAACATAACATTACAACTCACACAATGCTGATCGATCTGACATACTTTGCTTAATTAATCAATAGAGTTGTTTCTGTTTGTTTGATCTGACGTACTTCGCTTAATAAATCAATAAAGTCGAACCGTTTGCTATGATAAAACTGAAAAAGAATATAAAAAGGATGAAACTGGGGTAAATTTATATGCTCATTTAACCTCATAATGGATCTGATTGATAATATGATCTGGTCGTGAGTCCAGTGTTCCCTTCCTCAACCAGAAATAATGAGCACCTCTATCTATTTTGTGTGTCTAAGTCAAGGAAACACCGTATGAGTTATATTCATCTTATATTGTATAAAACCTCTGTGTTCACGCTTGCAATTTTAAACAGCCAATATGTATAGGTGGAGGATATATAAAGTCCTGCTAGCCTGAGAACACAGCCTCCTGCCTCCAGAACAACATTTTCTGCTCTAAGAAGAACATCAGTACGAGGACCCCTGCCAACAGGAATAGATGGACAATCCTGCACAATGAAGAGAAAAAACATGGTAAAAACAATGAAAATAAAATTCAGAAAATATTAGGAGCTAGTTGTGTGTTTCTAGGTAAGAAATGCTTCAACTGCAAAAATAAAATAAGACATGCTTGTACTCCCAAACTATAACAAATCTGAAGTTGCATACTATATAGACTTGTAAATTTCTATGTTCATTTAGCGGAGCTTTTATCACCCAAAAGAGCAACAACTGGTAGACACCTTTGATCTCTGCAGAATATGCAGTCTAGCAGTAATACCTCGTTGCACAATCTGTTGTCACTGCAGTCATAAAGAGCAGTACTCGACGTAAACAGGAAAGAACCTTCTCCATTCCAATTTGAGGCAGCCACTCTGCATGCATTTTCTGAAATGAGGATACATCACATGCCCATGATATGCAATTTGTTAAGCATAAGATAGATGCACAATGCACAGTATCATAGCAAAACTAGTCTAGTTACTTTCTACCATTTCATTGAGATGCACAACTTTGCATTTTTCCTACAAAGCTAGTGTAATTCATTTAACAATGGAAAAAAAATATCCTACTAACCAAATTGATGATGCACAGAGGTGTGTTGACATCAGAAAAAGATTGGTGGCACCCATCTGCATATATTACTAGTAATAGCAGATCCTTACAGATTGCATAGAAGAAACTGTCCAATAATCCATGGAACAGTTTTTGATATAAATCATAAAATCTGAAGGGCCTGGTGGAGTTAGTTGTTCCAGGCACAGTGCACATCTATTGTTCATGTGACCTAAGGTTCATATCAGCAATTAAACTTCCACACTTCAAAGAATTCAGATTCCACACGGACGTTAGATCTCAGCCCAAACAGCCCAGACATCAAGCAGTGACCAAAAACTGGAGATTGGTACCAAATCTACTGCATGGAGCCATCATTACAATCACACTCGCCTACCTCAAATCGCCAGGGTAATCATCAGAACGAGATGGGGGTGCACAGAAAATAACATATGGAGCCTTTTGAGAGATAGTGGATCCCTTCAAGGAGGGAATGATGCCAATATCGGTTAGCTCGCTGTGATGGTCTGTGCTTGCGGTCTGGCCATAAACTTTGCATCCTGGATGTTCCTATAGAAGACGAGGTCAAGTACTTAATTAGCCGAAACATGGTTATGTTAAACAGGTTGATGTCGGAAAGTGGTTCTTTAGCCACAGGTATTCATACCTTTAGCCACTTCTCGGCTACCAGTCGCCCAAGCACACCTGGGCCAACGATGAGTAGATCGTTCTGGGTAACAATGTTGGCACCGGGCATCGCAACCCCTGTATCTTGGGATAGCCCTAGCAGCAACAAAGAAGGAAATGTAAAAGGTAACTTAGTTGCACACATCACTGTTGAAAGAACTCGACATCTGGAGATAAAGAGGACGTCTGTGGAAAGAACTCGACATCTGAAGATAAAAAGGACAACACTAGAGCCTCCATCAGTCATATATATGACCTTCAGCACATAGTAGCTAGATAACTTAATTTACTTCACCAGGTACTGAGATCTGTTCCATGTCCCTTGATAACCCATTCCACCATGACCGGAGGCCATAAATTGCTTGCCGCATACAGGTCGGGTGAAGTAACTACTACCTAATGTCGGCGCTTGCGCGACCCCGGAACCGAAGTAGTATAAATTAGTTACTTCCAATGGAGTAAAAATGGGCATAGTGATAGCTATAACACTTGTGATTTGGAACTGACAGGAAATGAATTTCAGAGCTGGACACAGCAGCTCAGCAGTGTAACTGGAGTGTTACCCAGTGGCACGGAGCGCGAGGAACAGAAGGGGGAAAGACAAGGGTCGGTGAGAAAGTTACCAAGGGAGGCGGCGGCGACAGGCGCGCGGCGGGCGAGCGAGAGGAGCCGAGCTGGACGGCCGGCGGTCGGGGTGAGGGGCCACACGGAGGAGGGGCGGGAGGCGGTGGTGGGTGCGGGGAGACGGAGGGCTGGGGTCCGGGCGGGAACCAGGGCGGCGGCGACGGCGACATCCATATTGTCGCCGGCCGTCGTGGAGAGCTGGGATGGGGATGGAAATTGGATCGGTTGACGAGGATAATGGTGGCGACTTTGGTTGGGCCGGGCCGGGCCGAGTTGCCATCCCAACCAAAAACGGAATCAGGGCCCAGGATGCATAGACTGGCAGACAGACAATTGAAAGTTTTTGCCTCAAAAAGAAAAGGACAATCGAAAGTTTGAAATCCATTCGACCACGTCAGTCGAACTGCCTACACATGTACAATTTTCTACTCCCTCCGTTTCAAAATAAGTGTCATGGTTTTAGTTTAAATGTAGGGAGTACTTGCCTAAGAAAAAAGAGTACAATTTCTTCAAATAATACTAATAACAATAATATACATGTACAAAGATTAAGGCCACTTTTTATTGTATACTTCAGAAAGTACCCCCATGTTTTTACACACGTCTTGCATTGATTGATACAAATACACAAACACAAGAACTAAGCTAAGCCAGTGGCATAGCTTTGAGCATAATCCAAGAGGGGGCCAGGGAGCTAATTAATAAGAAAGGAGGGGCTAATCTTTAGTTTAAACACTAGTTAAACATAAGTCATAAATAAAACATAGCATATTTTTCAATGGATGCAAAAAATAAGGGGGGGGGGCATGGCCCCTGTTGGTCTACATGAAGCTCCGCCACTAAAGCTACCTGCTTGACATCATTTCAGTACCAAGGAAACAACACAGCCACATAGTGCTACCCTCCTCCATTTCGATCATCTCGACCATGCTAGAAGGGGTTTGCGCGGTTTGGAAAGCAACAACCGTCAATCCATCCTATGCCGCGCCACAACCAGATAATCTTTTCCTTCCTGGCATGTGTTCTCCACCTTCAGAAGAGCACGGGACCAACCGCAACAAGTTACCTGCAAGCAAATAAAGTCATATACACGGAGGCGCATCAAGGAGTAAGGGTGGGCAAAGTCACAAAGACAGATCAGCCAGAGATGAAAAGGTCGCACAATGTGACATTCAAAGAGGATGGTGGATTCACTCTTTTGGTAGCATCCTTCTGGGCAAAACCATATATATGAGCGTCTTTTACTCTTTTATACTCCCTCTGTTCCAAATTACTAGTCGTGCTTTTAGTTAAACTAAAACCACTAAAACCATGACTAGTAATTTGGAACGGAGGGAGTATCATATATATACGCCCTCCTCACGTTGTTACGACAGAGAAGTGGTTCTGGTTCAGGAAGCTTTAGGTCCTCCTGTGTTGGTCTTTTTCAGTGTAGTTTATGCGGTTTCACTAGTAGAAAAGAGGGCTTTGGTCCACCCCGGGTTAGCCCATTAGTCCCGGTTCAGTCTAGAACCGGGACTAATGGGTGCATTAGTCCCGGTTCGTGCGCCCAGGGGCCACGTGGGCCATTTGTCTCGGTTCGTCTGGACCTTTTAGTCCCTGTTGATGCCATGAACCGGGACTAAAGGGTGCGATGACCATTAGTCCCGGTTCGTGGCACCAACCGGGACTAAAGGGTTAGACCTTTAGTCCCGGTTCGTGCCTCCAACCGGTACTAATGGTGTTTGAGGCATTAGTACCGGTTCATGGCACGAACCGGGACTAAAGGTCCCATTTTCAAAACTCCCACCCCCCTCAGTGGATCGCCTTTTCAGTTTTTAATAAAAAAAAGGAAATGATGAAAATGTCAAAAAAATAAAAAAAATAAGTTTCCCATGTGATATGTGGTCTAGTTGTTGGGAAAATTTGCAAATGTGAATTTCGACTTTATTTGCAAAATCTCTCTAGAATTTAGTAAAATGAGCATAACTTTTGCATACTGACTCGGATGAAAAAGTTTTTTATATGAAAAATCATCTACTCGAAAAGTTACATCCAAATTTAACTGGGGAAACCCCGTTAAACATTTTCAAAATCCTCAAAAACCTAACAGAAAAAAGTTACAGGGCTTTTAAGATCTAGAGTGGAAAAAATCGAAAAAATTTCAAACTGTGGTCAAACAATGGCCAAACTAATTATTTTAGAATATTAGTGTTACTAAATAATTATTTCAGTTATTTTGAATTTTGGTCAAATCTGGTCAAACTATGGTCAAACAATGGTCAAACTAATTATTCAAAATAACTATTGTTTTTTAAATAATTATTGTTTTTTAAAACAATAGTTTCAAACTCAAACAGTGAAATGTGTCACTTCATGCTCAAGCAAAATTTCTGAGGGTTAATAGGATTGACATCGTACTATTGTCAGGAAAACAACAAGTGCAGACTTGGAAACGAGGGAGAATAGAACCCGGAAGTTAAGCGTGCTCAGGCTGGGGGAGTGGGAGGATGGGTGACCGTTTGGGAAGTTAGATGATTAGGAATGATGAGGGGTGATTAGAGATTAAAGGATAAATTGAGCAGTGATGAGGGGTGGTGATTAGAGATTAGAGATTAAAATAATTCAAAAATTTGAAAATAAAAAAAAATCATAAAATTTCCTTTAGTCCCGGTTGGTGTTACACGTGGCATTAGTACCGACCCTTTAGTCCCGGTTCATGAACCGGGACTAAAGACCCTCACCAACCGGGATAATAGGCCCTTTTTCTACTAGTGTTTCCTGGTCGTTGCTATTTATGTAGTTTAGTTTAGTTTGCCTACTTGGTTCGGTCTGGTTATAAGGCCGTTGTATTCAGACTAGGGACCTTTGGTCCATTTCTCCTTCTACTCCCTCCGTCTCATAATGTAAGATGTTTTTTGGGACTACACTAGTGCCAAAAAACATCTTATATTATGGGAAGGAGGGAGTATATATTTTCACACGCAGGTCTTCTGCATGGTTCGTAGAAAAAAGATGCATCTGCGCGCGCTTCAAATATCTTGTTCAAACATTGATCAAACGATGAAAAGGTATCAAGGGGTAAATTGTTACTTCAGTTTCTTGCTTAAAAGCATTATAATCGGCTGACACAAGCAACTGAGATTTTTTATTTTTTTTTATAAAAGAGAGCTCCCTCTCCGATTTCATTTAACAGCAATCAGTGTCTTGCAAGCAACTGAGGTAAAAGCAAAATGCACTGACACGGCATGCTTGGCACGAGATTCGCCTGGACTAGCCCAGCCATGTAGAGAAACGCACAGCCGTCTTGCTTGTCTTCGTCCAATGGCTAGATGAAGAAATTTCAGTCAAGGAATCATCAACAGGGATCTCATCCTACTCGAATTCGGCTGCTACGAGAGAGGTGACGCTCATCACGGCCGTGCTCGCGACGCGGCAGAGCCACATGAGATATCACGCGGCTCGAGGGGAAGCGAATATGTGCCCATCCATCCTCTGGGTGCTGCAGGACATGCTTCCGTCAGCTCAGATTATGCTCTTCTTTTGCGCCAAATATTCCAAAAAGACCACAAAACCGCGACAAATCGCCTGCAAAGAAGCAAAGCAAAAGCTTAGGTACATAAGGTGGAAAATCTTTAGGGTGACGGCACAGCATCTTTTGAAACAAAACAATATGCACAAGCGTCTTTTGTAGGCCCTCCTGAAGTTGTTCGGGGATTCTAAATTCTATTTTCTAACATTCCAGTCTAGCTGTTTTCTGAAACTCAAAACAATTCAATCACAAGAAATCAACATGTAGGTATATGCAAGAACAGTGGATGCAAGCAAGGGAAGAATCACTGTTTTCTAACTGGTGGCCTGCTAATCTCCCTGGCTAACTCACACAACCTACCACTAAATAGAATCTCCTCAACTCACCATGCGGCAGCTAAAAAAACCTATTAACCTCGACACCACAAGACATTTATGCAGGGAGGGAAGATAATCTGTTTTTTTTTCCTTCCTTTTAAACTTTATTGACTGGTCCAGCTAACAAAAAACTTCTCCTAAACAATTATTTAACTCACAAGAGCAATCATTTTTGGAACAAAATAATTCAGCCTTGCCTTGTTCTGTTCTACGTATCTGTCTGTTGTGCCAGTAATTCTTTTTAACTCTATGGCTACCAAAAACTCTTATGAGAGGGATGTGCTCCTTTTCAAATATAGAAGTTGCATGAGTTTTAAAGCACGGAAAAGCTTGACCCTTCCCAGGTAACCAAACTGTTCTTGGGTCGTTGCAGTTTGAATTTTTAACAGAGACTGATCATCGACAGTTTACCTGTGGCTCGCTGATACATCTCATGTTCCACGAGGCCAACCATCTGGTTGTAATTGTTCTTAAGATGCCAATCACTCAGCAGCAAGTTGACATCCCCGTCTTACTTGAATGACATCTCTCCGTCTGCCACACCCTCAATTGTAGTCCATATACATTCGTGCTGCCATGAGCACCCTATAGTGCCCACGGTAGAAATATGCTCCTGCTGCAACCAAGAACAAACCATTATAAAATCACAAGTCTACCCAAAAGAACAATGTGTTGCCACGGTTGACATTAATCTTGCAAGAAGTTTAGTCACATGTTATGAACAAAGTACAGTTTCTCGGTGGATTTTCATGTTCTAATTCCATTCTAAAAAACTAGACCTTGTGATTCATTTGCATTACACTTCAAGTGTTCTCTGGTAAAGCTGAATATCAATTTTCAGTTTCAATCCGATATTATTAAGCCAAATACTCATGTTCAATACAACCAAACATCATTGAAATATATTGCAACCAGTACATGCATCAATGTGCGGGGAATCATCTACTTACTATCAATGTGAAACACAATTGCTCAGGCAGCCAGGCTCCCCTCTTTCTTAAGCACTCATTTCTTGTGATATCTTTACCTTCCGCGCAACAATAAATGAGTTGAACACCTCATCGCCCGCAGGATGGTGCACAGCCAGCACTTGGAACCCGCCACGCCCGATATCGTCCAGCTCCACTACAGGATACAGGAACGCTCGCGCACCGTGGGCGCTTCGCGCGACGAGCACCGCGCCATCTGCCATGTGCTTCCCCAAGTGCGCGATGGTGTTGGCCTTCTCCTCGGACGTCATTCCCACGAGCGCCGCCAGGAAGACCACATCATACGCGCCGAGCTCAGCCGTGAGGTCCGCGACTTCGGCCGTGTGGAACGCCATGCGCGCACGCACGCCCTCGTCCGCCGCGCCGACCAGCTTCATCGCACGGCCATTGGCCACGCTGCACCGGTCGTAGTTGTCGAACCGGGTGTCCGGCAGGTGGTACATCGCGAGGAAGAGGGAGCTGAACGGCAGCGGCCCCGACCCGATGAACGCCACGCGGGCCGGGGCCGCCACGTGACCGGCAAGAAGATCGTGCTCGAGCTTGCTCAGGTTGATGTAGTTGTCGAAGTAAGGGAAGCGGCCGAGGTGGTCGAGCGGGTTGTCCAAGGCGGTGAGCATGTTGGAGTAGTGCGCCTCGAGCAGCCCCTCGGCGGCCGAGCAGAGGCGGATGAGGTCCTGCCGCATCTCCTGCGCCTCCGGGCCGAGCTTGGTCACGTCCACCGGGCTCGACGGGACGCACGCCGCGACCAGCTCCGTGAAGAGCGCGTCGAGACCGGCCGGTGCGGCGGGATGACGCGGCCGCCTGCAGCGGGGCAGCTACGGCAAGGAGGACGGTGTGGGGAGGCGGCCGGAGCTCCCTCGCGCTCCAGGTGGTGGCCGGCGTTCAGATCGGGAAGGCTTCTTTGGCTGGAGACCGGAGAGAGGAATGGGGGAGAGAAGAAACCCAGCTTGACGACAGCCTCATCGTGTATGTTTTTTCTTTTGATTGAGGGAATATTATTATTCCAGGAGTTGGGCTGGATTATATTCTATAATAAATGAGTTGGGCCGGATGGGCTAGGCAGGCTATGGTACCAACTTACATGTGGGGTCCACTTTACGTTTTAATCTCTCATTTCTTTCTTCTACCAACTGACATGTTGGATCCACGAGGTAAAAGTGGACGTGGGCTGTCAATGCCGTGGTAAGCGACACATGGCCAATTTGGCCGATGAACAGAGTGCCAAGTAGACTATATGACCCGTGAACAGAGCGACACGTGCCCAATTTAACCGGTCAATAAAGTGCCACGTAGAGTATTTACCTGGTTAACAGAGTGCAATACGATGCTCTACGGTGCCCGGTGAACACTCTACCGTGAGCCGGTGCTCGTATACTTACCCCAAAATGTATATAATAACCATAACAAGCGTATTCTAAAGTCTATTGACTGTATCATGTTTTCGCTTTAAATATAGTGGCCATTAGTGTATTTATGTCATTACAATACTATCACGCCATTTAGCATTTGCATTCAGACTCTTTTTTTTTTTACTTCCATTTCCTTCAGTTCCTCCTGAAATTGATACTTTTACTTTTTTTAAAGATCTATAATTGACCTCCTACACTTGTCCGGTAGTGGGATAGTGGGTGTGTTTTGTGAGTAGGGCGTTTTGATGCCCAGACTCATCTGCACCCGGTTAGAAAATAAATTGTAAAAAATTCAAAACAAATTCAAAAAATTCTAATTTTTTTGTGTGGTAAACAATTTGATGCGTGAGGCCCGCTCCAAATTTGAAGTCATTTGGATATTTGAGAAGCTCTCAGCGAAAAAGACAAATCGGACCAAAACAGTACATGAACAGTAAGCATTTTTACAGACTCCCATTTTGTCTTTTTTGCTGAGAGCTCCTCAAACGTCTAAATGATTTGAAAATTGGAGCGAACCTCACGCATCAAATTGTCTACAACACAAAAAACATTTGGAATTTTTTGAATTTTTCTAATATTTGTTTTGAATTTTTTTTCGTCAACGTGGGTGCAGATGAGCTCGGGTGCAGAAATGGATTTTCGGTGTGTTTTGGTCCTATTATTTAAGCCCATGTGCGTGAGAAGAAAAACAAGAAACGGCACAAAGTCTGTGCGTGCCATGACTATGTGTGTGTTCTTCTACCTCTTGTGTGCGTGTGTTTTTGTTTCTTCTCCTGGGCAAACCCCACAGTGGATTCGGTATTAGGCGCCACATTTAATCTTCGTTGTGCCTTTATCTGCTTATTATCCGCAAATGATGTCACACCAAATGGGCCGTGTGTGAGATTTCATTTTCAAATTGTGAAACTAGTTGGGAACCATGCAACTCCACGAATAGGGAATAGCCCGAACTTGTATATGGAGCCGACATGTATTCGGAATCCAATGATAAATACATTCGAGATATAATTTAAGGGTCCGACTATATCACATCTAGATGTGAGATATGTCATCCTACATCAGCAGATAAACAAAAGACCACAACATAGTTATATCACATCTAATTTTTGCGGCCCTCTTTATTTATTTTTTCTGTTGTTGTTTTTTCTTGTGTTTAGCTTGTCCAGCCCACTACATGCAAAAACGCCACTAGAGAAACGATGACCGGTCGCCCAGTCTGGTCGTGGCATGGAACGATTAATCAAGCAATTGATTATGTCTAGCAAGTAGATGGCAAAACACTGTGTTTACATGGGCGTTTTGAAGTATAGTGCAGAGGAAGTAAAGTTGGTTAGTCAAAGTTAGACCCAGTTGCGAGTCTATAGTGGACTTGCAACCGGGACAAAAAATGTTAGGCTCTAGTTGCAAGTCGAGGGTGGACTTGCAACTAGGACAAAAAAAAAAGTCGGATCCTAGTTGCATGTCGACCGTAAACTTGCAACTGGAACAAAAAGGTCAGGCTCAGTTGCGAGTCTAGGCTGGACTTGCAACCGGGACGAAAAAAAATCCGGTCCTAGTTGCAAGTCGAGGGTGGACTTGCAACTGAGACAAATAAAAGTTGGGTCTTAGTTGCATGTCAAGCGTGAACTTGCAACTGGAACAAAAAAAATTTAGGCCTAATTGCGAGTCAAGGGTGGACTTGCAACCGGGATGAAAAAAGGTCCGGCCCCAGTTGCGAGTCGAGGATGGACTTGCAACCGGGACAAAAATAGTCGGGACCTAATCGCATGTCGAGCGTGAACTTGCAGCTGGTCAAACCCAGTTGCGAGTCTAGGATGGACTTGCAACCGGGACGAAAAAATGTCTGACCTCAGTTGCAAGTCGATGGTGAACTTGTAACTAGGACCAAAAGAACCGGGTCTAGTTGCACGTCGAGCGTGAACTTGCAATTGGAACAAAAAACGTCAGATCCAGTTGCGAGTCTAAGGTGGACTTGCAACCCGGACAAAAAAAGGTCAGGCCTTTTGTGTGCAGTAGAATAATATTGAAAAAAATGAATAAGGTTAAGGTGATTAGAAAATGATATACTTAGTGTATCATTGGCCTGCTCAAACGTCGACCCTATCTACTTCCAAATCGCTTTTAAAAGGAAAAACTGAGCACTGCAGCCCAACATGCGTACAAAACTGTAGCTCAAAAATGAACTAAACCAAAACGAAAACATCAAACAAACAACGCAAGAACCGGGCGAGCTGGAAACAGCGTTACAACCGCTCCACACGAGCATGTGTGGACAAAAACGTGAATCTTAAAGTCTTCGATTGAACGGTTCTGGACTTAGATGTAAAATAGCTATTTTACATTTAGATGTAAAATAGCAAATCTGATAATTTAAATGCAATCTTCAGATACATATATAGGGATCAAGATTTTTTTCCCTTCTATTAAGAAATATATGATCCTGATTCGAACAAGAATATGGCAGTCCACACCACTACAAGTTGAGAAAACAATAGTAAGAACATATATTAATCAAGTAAATAAAATACATTCGTGTCACAAGTGCAATATAAGCTCCCCTCCAACAGAAGTGCAATATAATTCGTACATCAATTACACATGCTTAACATATAATCATAGCAGAAAGGAAGGACCTTATTTATTTAGTACGTACATATAACGATCGGCACATGCATGTATGCATACATTGACTCTTTATGCGATACTTTCTTCAGTGATGTCAATGTCGATATCAGAGGACTTGGTACCATGATAGATACCATCATGTAACTGACGGATAACTATGTTGCCACTGTACATAACATCCTTCTGCTTGTATGAGAAGGGAACATCAACAACATCTTCTCTTGTGAATATGCTACATAACACTTTAGTCATCGGAGGCACAGGATATGAGTATTCATACATGCGCTTCGTTTCTTGTATCTTGGTTTCTCCCCAATTATACTCTCCATGAAAGTCCAAATGGCTTTCAGCTCCACCTTCCATTATAAATGGCAAGCTAGCTGAGATGTGGGCTTTGATACCTGCGTCGAGAGTTAAATTCGCATCCCATTTACTCTCTGTTCTGTCATATAGTTCAATGGTAGGTTTGCCTTGGTGGGTTTCATGTGTTCTATTGTTAGAAAGCACCTCTGTCCTGGAGACATTTTGGTTACTGCTAGTCTTCTTTCCACCGACATTGTACTCAACATCATATATCTCTCGAGACATAACCGGTTCTTCAATCTGGAGCATTACTCCCGAGGAGTTGATATCAGTACCAGAAGCAACGAGGATATTAGAATAGATTATAGTCGGATCGGTCACACTCTCACAGAATTTTCCATTGCCGAGGTTTTGGAGTGCAATGATGTTCCCATCCTTTGAGACCACCTTGAACAATGTGTTAACATCGCTGTAAATGGCATCATGTGGTATGAACGCGCCGAAGTAAAAGCCGGAGTCATTTATAGTGCCAATCGTCCCATTGAGGAGACTACGGACGCCACATGTCCAAAACCTGCCTGAGGTGTTGTTTCTTATGCGGACAATACCGTAGTCGTCGGTGAATGTCTCATGGATCACATCTGGATCTGTGAGATCAGATGATGAAAACTGCTGAACCCAATCATCACCGCCAGTCTTGCCAGAAAACGAATTCCGGTTCATTTCTGTGAGGTACTTGCCATTGTTGCCTTTAAAAGCGACATATTTGGGCAATTCCTTCTGTTGCGACAAGCGATGAACACTCAAGAGATCTCTTACTCCTAGTTGCAGGTAGGCTTTGTTGCCTGGAATAAAACACAAGTCCCCAGAGACAGAAACCCAGCCAACATATTTATTTTGTTGAGAATGAAAGCACCTGTTGTACAAAAATAATTAACAACATCAGATGAGAAATTTTAATATGGTCCCTAAGAGGATAATTTAATCCTAGCTGTTGATAGATCGAGGGTAATTTTGACAAAACAAATATGGTAATTACAACAAAATAAGTAGGAAATATTCTTGATGGGTTTGGTGATCTGTCTTTTGATGAAGACATTTTCTCTCAGCCAAAAAAATGTGAATCTTCTTATGGTATGCAACACATATTTTTTGGTCCAGTCGGTGGCCAAAGTTTGACAAGAATACCAGCGGGGCTTGTAAACCAGTCCACAAAAGGTAGTAAATGAAGGAAACATTTCGTTTTGCCCACCAATTTTTTGAGCGAGTTCTGGTCTCTAAACTCCAAACAAAGACAATTTGTATCTTGAAACTCAATACCAGAAATATATGATCTCGAACAACAATTAAAAACAGTATTTTTTTTGACCAATAAAATAGCGATAGTTTCACATAGGCTTGCAGCTCAACAAGGAAAAGAGGAGCAAACGATAAAACTTTAAGAAAGCAGAAGAAAATGGTAAACTATATATAAAACAAAAGGTAGTAGAAAATAAAAACAGTACATTCTCATAACGTTAGTACTAAAACTGGAGAAGTTTTAATAATATAAAAACAGATAGTGTGTGGAAATAAATATGTGGAAATATTACTACAGACCAGGGAATTAGAAATTATACATATCGCGGAATTTGCATGAAATTATGCGTGATATCTACCGAACCTCCAATGATTTAGTTCTCCTTTCTAGAGCTTCTGGTTTTATAAAAACGAGAGACAGGTGAAGAATGGTGGATATATATGTATATATATAGTGAACAGAAGAACCTGATGTAGCCGCCGCCGCCCTCGCTGGGCCGTTTACTGTCACTAGCGACTTGGAAGTCGAACAAGGTGCAAGACGGCTTGGTCAGGTCCTCCTCCGGTTCGTCCGCGGTGGCGGAGATGAACCATGCACTGCCGCCGTCGGGCGTGCGCTGTTGCCGGGCGACCCAGTACTTGTTGCCGTCGCAGCACCTGACGTGCAGGAGGCCCTCGTGCTGCTTGGACGGCTCCAGGTAGAACCTCTCGGCCGGGGTTCTGGCTCCGTGCTCGATGTCTCTAAGCTCGATGAAACTGTCGCCGCTTTCCTCGTCGTGGACGGAGCGCAGACACCCTCGTTGCGCCGAGTACCCGAACAGGGAGACGCATACCGGCGGCCCGGAGAGAGGAAACGCCACGCTCTCTTGCGCGCGTGAACCGTAATATTCCCCCATGTGAGCGTGTAGTGAATTCTCTAGTTGCGTTGGGTTGGGTTGGGTTGCGTTGCTGGGACTAATCTATAGGCGGCATTTTATAGCAGGCCGGAGCCCGATCTGGGGACCATTGCCCGGGTGACAAATACAGCTCATCTCGCTGATCACGATCTGGGGGCCAATCACACACAACTCATCTTGCTGGTTCAATAATGTCTCGTCTGGTTAGATTAGGTGCATTTTTTAGCATGCCTAAAAAAAGAGATTAGGTGCATTTTCTATCATTGCCACGTGGCATATTCTCCAACTGAAAATTACCGAGGCACTCAGCTCACTTTTTTTTTTGCTAAGAATTTTGAATTTCTGCGAGAATGTTGAAATCATCGAAATTTCATGAAAAATATGATTCGGGAAACTGTCTCAAAATTCGCAAAAAAAAAATCAGTGCGGGCGCAAAAACATCAAAACTGCAGGAAAGTATGAATTTCAGGGTCGGGCAGTTTTTTATAACCGTCAAAGTCTCATAAAAAATGCGACTTTCACGTACGGTGGGTTGAAAGAAATCCTTAAAATGAAGTTTAGTTCCCAAGTACCTATTATCTAGCATGGTCACCTTGGTTGCATGCATCATTCTGATGCATCAGGGGTTACCCTCCTTTTTTTAAAGAAAAATCTAGCATGGTCACGTATACTGGCAAGAGAGGCGATTGTTATGAGTCATCAACAGATATCAGTGACCACTGGAGCCTTTTTCTCTCTGCCATTAGTTGCATTTATTACTACTGATGACAGCATAAGTCGCCACTGGCGTGACTAGACTTGGGTGTGTTTGGTTGGGCTCCAGTTTGGCATTGGCGCATATAAGCTCGGACCTAACCAAACAAGAGGCGTATATTTGCCTTTATTCGAAAGAACGTTGGAGTTATAATCCGTAGAAGGGAAGGCACGTCCTAAGGTTCTTTCGAGGTATATTTTCAATCCCACGACTATCCTACTCCTGCTGCTTGAAAGAAACTTCCAGAAACTTGATTGCAAAATGTCCAAACATAGAACACAATCACTGGGAGGAGTTCTTTGCTCAGAGGAGGAGTGAAGAGTTCTTGGAGAAGAGTCGCCCGGGAAAGGAGCTACGGTAAAGGAACAAATATGGATACCAAGGTCTATGATCGAAGGAAAAATACGACCACCACCTTGGCGGCCGTGGTTACCCAAGGAAAAGATTACACTGGACCAGAGAGGACGCCGCACTAGCCACATCTAGGAAACCTCTTCGTTTAGAATACATCGAGGAGGGGACTTCATAAGGGGGAACACAACCTATTACCCTTCTTTTTTTGCAGAGACACGACCTATTACCTAGTTACCATGGCATCAATTGCCGCAACCCCGGAACTCAAGGAAGTTCCGGGGTTCATTGCTCCACTTGCAAGGAAGTGTTCGACCATTTGGTAACATCTCAACACAATGTCTTTTCCTAGTTCATTACTCCACTTGCAATATACTCAGCAAAATAGCTTGCATCGAGAAGACTACGCATGAATCGGTATGTTCGTGATAGTCATCCGTCTTCCGTCTTTGGGCCATCTTTTGTCAAGACCAACATCCTTTTCCAACAAAACAGCAAACATGAAAGTAACATAGACACCGAATGACAAGACTACAAGTCTCACGTGATTCACGAAATAGAAATTTGATGTATCGATCTGTCCTGGCATGCACTATTTAGTTCTCTTTTATGCATACGTGCGATACCTAACCAGTTAGGTAAATTGATGCCTCCGCGGGGTGAGAAGAAAATGAAGGGAGGCCAACCGGGGGGATTTGAATTGGTGGAGGCACAGGAAGAATGATTGGAGTGTGTGTCCAACACAACACACGTGGTTGTTAATAGGTTGAGCTCTCTCTCTCTCTCTCTCTCTCTCTCTCTCTCTCTCTCTCTCTCTCTCTCTGAGCAGTATTGGGTGATAGAATTTTTAACTTGTGCAAACGTAGCCTTCATATTGCAGCATGTAAAAAAATCATATGACATAAATGATCCTATAACTAAACAAAACATAAAACTATTCAGCCATGAACTCTGGTGTTGTCCATTTTACTTGGCCCTCTCTACCAAAACTACAATGGTTTTGATTGATGTCACATATGTACGTGTAATTTTTTTGTGAAACGTTGCCCATGTGGTGCAATAAAAAATATTTGTTCTATCTATCAATATTTTTGGAAAATACATAAAAAAACTGGAAAATATAGAATCCTTCTACTAAGAAAGGTGAAACTTCTGAACGAACACAAAATTATGGAACAGAAAAAACCAGCATACCATTCACAAAGGAAAAAAATATGGAAAATGGGAAGTGAGCAGAAGAGTTCCAAGTTTCATAAAGAAGTATATGAAGTACCATTAGATAATGAAAAAAATATTTAGGGAAGAAATACATATTTTAAAATTTATTAAGATGTATTGTTTGGACGTTGTCCTATGTCCAAATATTCATGAATAGTGATAAATATATTGTTTTCTTTATTTCTAGAATCGACAGTAAATGGCTCATTTCTATATCTCTAGGGATTTACTACCTCCGTTCGGACATAAATGATGTTGTTTTAGTTCAAATTTAATTTGAACTAAAATCACATCAGTTATTTCTGAACGGAGGGAGTATTTGTTATCCATGATATATTTGTGTTCCAAGTTATTTTATTTGATTTTAGTATTTCTATCTCCTAGTGGTGTCTCTTTTATTCATTTCTATTTATAAATCTTCCCTTTTTTCTAATTTTGTATTATTTTCCAACTTTTCCCTATTGTTTCGTAGTTTTGCTCCATTTTAATTACTTTATATATGGTTATCTCAAGTTTGTTTCTTTCATCGACATGTGTTAGATTCTAATTCGACATTTTTTCTCCATGATGCCTTTACGTTACCAAAAGCATTCGACAAGTTGACACGTCTAAACATAACCTATTATAATGAGTTTTATGTTACATTTATGTGTTTGTTTCATTATAGATGATTGTTAATTTTTATGCGTGCATATTTATCAATTATCGGGATTAATATGAGATACACTCTCTTTATTCACATATGTGCAAAGCAATGCCATCTAAAAGAAATAACAGATTTTGGTCATCGGTATTCTGTGGGCCCAGGTGCTAGGCACATCCGGTGGATCTTGTTATCAGGATAGGTGTATTGCTACCTGGAAAAGGGCCCTAGATTCTATCACTCTTTCACATGCATGTCCATTTCCATGTGAGAACGATTCGGCGATGTCTCGGTGATAATATACAAAAACATTTTGTGTCGCCAACAAGAAGGGAGGAAAGCCATCAAACATTTTTCCCCTCGACAGCATCACCATGAAATCCAACCATTTATTCATCAGTCTTGAAAGCCTCCATAGCTTCCTTTGCAATTATCAAGACCATCAAGACTGGTCTGTAACTTGGTATTCATGAATTTATGAAAACAAAAGATTATCAATCTTTGGGCCATACCGGCATCCTTTTCCGGCAAGGGTACGTCTAAGGAGACTCTGAAACAACAAAGATGAAAGTAATATATGCACCGATTGATGGAAAGTACATGTATGAAACCAGGACATATGTACCCACTACAAAAAACTCATTTCTTAATGCCAAAATATTCTGAAAAATGTTTCACGCATACATCTTCACATTTTATGTGCGCACAGGAAGTTTCATGCAAAAAAAACTTCTTCTTTGGCCTATGCAAAAAAGACAAAAAAAAGTGGCGTGGCATGTTATTTAGAAGCACTGAATTTGTCTTTTTCATGGAGGCAAAATAAAAAAGAAAAGTTTTCATAAAACTTTGTGTCATGAACATATGTTTCGAAGATGTATGCGTGAAATTTTGTATCGGAGTTTTTGACATTGTAAATTGCAGTTAAAATGCATTTTTTTTAAAGTGGGTTCATATGTTAGGGTGTCCCCACTCAACGATTGGCTTGTAACTTTGGTATTCATCAATTTATGAAAACAAAAGATTATCAATCTTTGTGCCATTCTTTGTCAAGATTGGAATCCTTTTCTGGCAAAGGTACATCGAAGGAGACTCCAAAACAGCAAAGATGAAATTACATAGACACCGATCAACAAGACCACAAATCTCACGTGATTCACAAAATTTGACATCGCGAGCTGTCCAAGCGTGCACTATAAAGATGTTTCTTTCTAAGTTAGTGTGAGACCTTTTTTTTGCGGGTGAACGTTAGTGTGAGACCTAACCAACGAAGAAAAATCGATGCATCCACGGGATGGGACCTGAATCTGTGGAGGCGCATGTAGACTGTCATGAATGTGTGTCCAACTCAACCCATGTGAGAGGCATGGTACGGAAAAAGAAATAAGTACTTGCTGGTTGCTATGTACCTGTCATTGGTGGACCAATGTGACATTGCAAATCTATCCTGTCCAGCCAGCTCGCTGAGTAGGAGAGAAGGAACTTCATGTCAAACAGAAGGACCGTGCCCCAATAAAATGTGAGTGAATTCCGGTTTTTATCCTCTATTTTGACATTTTTTTGACACTAATTACCCCATTTAGCGGGATTTCATCTGTTTTACCCCATTTAGCATAAGTGTTGCCACAGTTTACCTTGTTTAAAATTTTGTGAGCATTCTGACATATGGGTCCCAATTGTAAGGTCCAACTAGAATGCCAAATCGCTGGGTTTTTTTCCGATGGTTTTCTATATACCAAACCAGGTCGCCCTAGCTTCTCCCGACTGGCCAGGCTCGATATGACCGCACTGGAGCAGCTCGGGAAACACATACTAACTCTCTACCAGTCAACATATTTGCTACTACGAAAAAGGGAACTTCTAAAACATGATTTACCTAGTTCATTCTTCGCTAGGTATGTAGATATGTACGTGCATCAGAGGTGGTGAAGCAGTATATTTACACCACTTTTAATCTGATCCACAGAATCATTTATACTTAAGGTCGTATATCATAATACTGAAGAAAAAATACACGATTTTATATCAGCAACAGCC